TTTGTCTGAATTCTTCCTTGGAGCAGGGGGGGAGCCTGCCAAGGCGCTCAAAAGGCTCTTTGTGGTCTGCTCCCAAGGAGGAGGAGAAAAGAGAAGCAAAGCACAGGAAGACGACCTACCTCGAGCTCCAGTGGTTTTGTTTATGGAGAAGCTCGCAAAGAATGTGCTATGAAATGGCACTGGATTGCGTCATTCCTGTGAATTTGGGATCTTTCTGTGTTCAACAATAGCAATTTAGAAACGAGATGGCACAGCACAAGCTCTAGGGGCAGGAGGCCCGGGCAGGCTCTCCCCCAGCCTGTGACCTTAAGGCCCGAGCAGCAAGTCACCCGTACCGTCTTCCCGGGGCCCAGTGCTGCTCAGCTCTCCGGGCCCTTCAACCTGGGAGCCGGGACAGCTGGAGCTGATCTAGAACAGCCAGACCAACCGCTGTTTCCTGGGACAGATGTGCTTTTCTTTTGGAAGGAAAGGATGCCATGCCGTGACCTAGCTCATTCTCTCCTAAAATGTGGCATTGTGCCAGCAATCAGCCTGGCATACCTAGGTCCTAGCTCGAGGGGGGAATAAGACGTAGGGGGAAACCCAGGTGGTCTGTGCCTGCCTGGCCGTGGACCATCTGCTGTGAGGGGCGAGCAGTGCCTCCCTGTTAGCAGCAAAGTGATGGTGTTGCCACCGAATGTGGCCCCCAAAGCAGCCACTGTATATACATATTTAGAGTTAACATCATTTAAAAAATCATGACTTCCAACACAGTTATGTGTTGAGATGCTCAGAAGTCACCCCAGAGCATGGGTCCATGAGTGAGAAGGGGAGGCACTGTTTCCTGGGGGAGAGCGTGCCGTTTCAGACACTCCTAGCACAACACTAACTCATTTCCACTGTCTTCATTTTATTATTCCTTTATTTTTGCAACACCTCGGGGTTACGCACTGTCTACCATGTGAGCCTTCCGCAGCTGTTCATATGTGGAAGGGGCTGGCTCAGCTGGGCCCTCTAAAGTTTGAGTTCGGGGCAGCCTGCTCTGGCCAGCTCATGGTGACCATGGCCTGCGTTGCAAGAGGCGCCGGAGGCCAGTGGCAGACCCACCAGCCCTGCTCCAGGACTCTTTGACAAGGAGCTGCTTGGAAGCTGGCACCTGGGGCCAAGTCAAGCGTTTATAGAGTGATATTCGCACCAGCTCCCCTCCGCCATCCCTGGGAAGTGCGCATTTTTCCCAGAGTGGTTAAGACAGACTTGGGCTTGAGTCTTGGCTGAGCCATTTCCTAGCTGTGTCTTTTTGGCTAAGTTGCTTAACCTCTCCGAACCTCCTTATCGCGAAAACTGGAGATCCGGACACTGGCCGCGGCTCTGCACTGACAGGCTATGGCTGGGAAGCCGCGTCAAAGGTCTGAGATGCCCCTAACAAGCTGTAATACTTTGTGACTTTATGTCCCTTCTCTTATCCATTGAGAAACAAGCAGTTGATTAGGTTCTCTTAGGAGAGAAAGCAGTTAGAAATGCCTGCTCCTTTTGATTTTTAAAGATTTGTTTTAGACCAAGCCTCCCTGTGGCAGCTGGTGACGCTGCCCTCTGTTCCCTGGTCAGTCTCTAGGATGGGCACCACGCAGGAGGGCTGGTGTGTGTGGCTATGTGGGCTGGGCTGCGGAGTAGAGTCCAGGCCTCCTAGAACCCCCGTGGGAGAAGGCCACAGCAGGGACTCCATCCTGTGCCTTCCTTCGCCTCCTAGAGAATAGCCTCTGCAGCTTTTCTCTCTTGACTGACATGTGAGTGTGTGTGTGTGTGTGTGTGTGCCTGTGTGTGTGTGTGTGTGTGTGTGTGTGTGTGTGTGTGTGTGTGTGTGAAGAGCTCACAGCGAAGGCCAGGGTATGTGTGAGATGAGGAGAAAGGCAGGGCAGCAGCAGCCACTAAACCCCCAGAGAGAGTGCAGGGCAGAGCCACTTGGCCTAGGCCTTATCTCCAGCATCATCCTAACTGAGTGCCCATCTGGCCAGACCTTAGAGATAGGATAATACCCAATTGATACACTAGGGATGCCAGAAGCAATCTGGGCCTCCCTCCCTCGGGCTCTTGGTGGCCTGGGGCCAGCCTGTTACTGTGTGGTTAAGAATGAGCTGCTGCTTTTAGATTTTCAGGGCTTATCTGAAAGCCCCAGGGGAATTGCGAACCTTGGCCTCAGCCCCCAGACCAGAAGAGCTGATGGCTCTGGGGCCTTGGAATGCCAGATCTATAAGCTGCCAAGGTTTGAGTGCAAAGGTGTTGCTGGCTGAGTGATACCCTGGGGAGGGGGAGAATCTTTTGGGTCAGAGCACAGAAGAAGGCTTTGTCTTCCGGAGCAGAATCTGCCCCCAGGCTCTCAGAACAAGCCTGATAAGAGCTCCCTGCTGATTGGCTAAGAGAGGCTATCTGCTTTTTCCTCCAGGGTTAGTGCCAGCCAGAAGGAGGCAGGCCCCTCCCCCAGCCACTTTCTTCACACAACTGGGTGCTCCTATGGCTCCCTGGTGGGAAGGGTCACTAAGTTAACCTTGAATATCTGTTACTAATGATCAGTACTGACTTTGGGAGGACTTTGCACACAAAAAAGAAAAAGCTCAGTTGCAGTGCCTTCAGGTCATCTTCATAGTAAGATCCTTGCCCCTCCTTACCAGGCAGCTGTGCTTAGAGGCCAGACCTTCTCTCTCCAGAAGGAGAGAAAAGACTCGGTTTGTGCAGAAGCCTTAGAATGTACACACACAAACACGCTGGACTGCGGATGTGAAGAAGCAGGGGATTTGAATCATTCAAGATGCCAGAGTAGGGTGTGCCCCTGGACTTTCACCCTGGTAAACCCCTCTAAACTAAAGTCCCTACCTCTGTCCAACACTGTGTCCTCTTCAGGCAGACTCAGTGGGGCTCAGACACCTCTCTGTGGGGCGCATATGGGTTGCCACGATGACCACACAGCGCACAGTTTTCACTGCCTTCCAGATTTCAGATACTTTGCTATGTTGGGCCCATACATCTCATACCGTTCTGGAAATTTTGGCCTTCATAGATGCTCCCTCTCAGATAAATCCTATGTCAGACCTAATGTGACTTTGGAGCCTAGAACTGGTGGGCACTGGATGACCCTAATGCTTTCATGCGGCTGCCACCTCCTCGGACCAAGTCCTGGAGGTCAGGGGCCATAGTTTGCCCAGCACCCTTGTCGGGCACTGTGACAGGGCAGAGTAGGACTTAACTCCCCTGGGCTGTCCCACTGGCATAATGTCATGTGCCTGATGGTACTGAGTTTCCACGACAACCCTGTGATGTTCTGGCTTTTGCCCCCATTTTACAGATGAGGAAATTGAGGTTCTATGGAGTTATGTAACTTTCTCACACTCAAAGAGCTAACAAGAGGTAGAGTCTGGATGCTGACTACCTTGCTCTTCCATACCCTGTATCTCCCCAAACAGAAAAGTCCTGAAGTTGAGTCAGAAACCAGAGATGCCTCAGCACAGGTGCTCCCTGGGCAACCAGCGGGGTCAGCCTGGCTCACATCAGGATGTGATGGCATTCAGCGGAGCCTGCGTTTGGTGCCGTGGGCACGTGTTACCCCGTGGATGTTCGTCCTAGGGAGGCTTATTAGCATACCCTGCCCTCTGGGCACTTCTGATTTAAAACAGACACATGTGCGGAAGGACCACGTCAGCATAGAATGCCAGCACTAAAAAGGGACTGTTTATTTATTTCAATTTCCTTGTTTTAAGAGAAGACGACTCTGAGATCAAAGGAAACACATAGTTACCATGTATTGAAACATTCCGTGAGCCCAGCGTGCGAAGCACATTATTACATTGACTCCTCAGTCAGCGGGGGAGTCAGAATTTGAATCCTGCGCCAGAGCACACGTTCTTAACTCTCACACCCAGCAGGGCTTTGCTGTGAGGTGCTGGGGCAGGTGCCCTGCGCTGCCCCTGGCTCCCCCACAGGCCTGCAAACAACACCTCCCTTGTCCCTGCACAGACTATCCTGCTGCTCTCAGGCTCAGCCCCTCTCTGGAATTAGCAAGAAGCCGTTCTCCCCTGTGCCGGTGGTTATTTTCAGAAGTGTGAAATAAATGTAAAACAGGATATTTTCAGTATAAATACCTCCCTGCTTATATAATGAAGTGGTAGCAAAATCCCTGACTTAGAGCAGATAGGTGGTGAGGTTTTGCAGAGACATAGCCCATTAGGAAGGCTCACGGGGCCCTGGATGAACTAGAGGCTGAGCCTCAGGGGGCTGGGAGCCTTCCAGGCCCCGGACTCCCAGAGCTCAGAGGGATCAGCCCTAGACTGCAAGTGAGAAGACCTGAATTCGGATCCAGCCCAAGGACCGCGCCCCTAAGAGCAAGTTAACCTCTCAGTTAACCACGGTGTGGAGCTGTGGGGGGCGATGATGGAATCTACACGCATGCACCTGGCCTCACTATCTTGGTGAAGCTTCAAAACCTACTAACGACCCTACTCACTCCGTGACGATATTCTGAGAATTACTGTTGCTTTTCTGATGAAACGTGTTTTAAGAGCGCACAGGATCATCACTGAAAGTTCTTGACCTAGCTCATGCTAGGGAGCGTGGGGCTTTGGCGCGTGCTCAGCCCCACCAGCCTTCCCACTGCCGCTTGCTAGAGCCCTTCCTGGTCCTTCGGCCTGCTGTTTCCTGGCTCAGTGTTTCCCGGGTGCCGGTTCCGGGCCAGGCACAGCACAAGAGCTTGCAGGAGGGACGCCCTCCTCACCAGCACAGCATCTACCTCTGCAGGCCTCGGCCAGAGACCATTTGTGCTCTCCCGAGGTGCCCCCTTTCCTGGCTCTACCTTGGGGCACCCTTCTCAGAAATGTGGCTCCCGCTCCCCCCATCGCCCCCGCGGCTCCACCCCAGGAGGCTGGAAAATTGCACGTGTCCACTGGCCCAGCATCACGGGCTGCTCCTTTCCCCCCACTATGGTCACAGCCCAGGGAACCTGGTGCCTGGCGTAGGCCTGGATGGCGCGGACTTACCCGATGGCTTGTCTGTGGAGGACGGGAGGCTGGTCAGGGTGGGCATGGTGGGCAGAGGAGGCGGCAGCACCTTCAGGTTCTGGTCACTCTGGATCTCGTTGGTGGAGATCTGGTTGATGATGCGGTTGTAGGGCGGAGGCTGGTAGACGCGGGGTGGGCTGGCGGGGGGTGGCTGGGGCACGGGCCGCGCCGGGGGCACCCGCTGGCAGTGCTCCTCGAGCTGCGCGATGATCTCGGACTGGTTGTGGGCCAGCGTGGCCAGGTGCTGGTACTTGTGCTCCAGGTCCTTGTACTTGCTGGCCAGCTGCAGCATGTCGGCCGTCTGGTTGAGGATCCTGTTCTCCAGCTGGGAGAGCTCCAGCGCGTTGTCCCGCTTCCGGATGATCTCGTGCAGGAGCTGCATGTAGAGCTGCGTGACCCGCGAGTTCATGTTGCGGCTCTCCTTGCGCAGCAGCTTCACCTCGCTCACGATGCCGCCGTCCACCTCCACCAGCTGCTGCAGCGTCTCGATCTGCCGCTTCTGCTTGAGCAGCTCACTGTTGAGCAGCTCCAGCTCCTGCTTGTGCACGCGGTTCTCCAGGAGCACCTCAGGCTCCTTGGAGTTGACGCAGATGGCGCCCGTGACCCGCTGCTGGGGCACGATGAAGGTGTAGGTGCACTTGTCCGGGGACTCGCCGGCCCGCTTGTACCTGTTCAGGTAGATGAACTCGCCCTGCGAGCCCTCCTCGGTGCCCTCTGCCCCTTCCTTCTGGCCCGCAGCAGCTCCCACGGCGGCCAGCAGTCCCAGCCACCAGCACGTCACGCCCAGCGGTCTCATGGTTCTCGCAAAATGGTGGCTATTCTTTGCGAACAGAGCCTGGGAAAACCTGGAAGGAGACAGAAGGGGAGCCTCAGACTCAGAATTGTCACGGCCAGCAGCCAGTGCCATAAATGAGCTCAGCCTTCCTCCCAGACAGGTCTTTCCAAAAAGCGCAGCTTCAGGAGGCGGCCCTTCTGGGAGCAAAAGCAGACCAGAGGCCCCCGCAGAGGTAGAAAGGAAGAGGGAAGGCGCCAGGGCATTTGTAGGTGGGAGACACGGGCCCTGCACCCCAATGCCAGCTCAGTGCCCACGCCTACCCCCTGAGCTCCTGGCCTAGAGCCTAAGATCCACGCAAGGGCAGCTTGAACCTGGGGGGAGGCCAGGGCACCCCTCTGCCTCATGCCCCTCAGACAGTCGCCTCCCGTCCTGCACATGTGTGAACCCCAGCCTCTCCCTTTGTAACTGCTCTCCCAGTTGTAGTGAACGTCAGCTCTGCCTGCCCTCCTTTGTTGGACTCAGCTCCCTGAGACCAGGCACCGAGTCTGACTCCACCCTCCATCCCCAGGATGCTGCGCTAAGCGAGTTTTCAGCAAATGCTTGTTAAATGAATGAATTGCCAGGCATAGTATGGAATGTGGTCAGTTTGTAGTGGACAATGTCAATGAAAGGATATGTCCAGTCACGTGGTTTTGGTCTGAACGTTAGCCAAGCCACACAGCCCAAACAGGAACAAACAACTGAGCTTTTCGAGACCCAAATATTTGCAACAGCTAGTCACTGCTTGGTTCCAGTCGCTGCCAACCGATTAAACCAGGCAGGGGCACAAAACAGACCTGTGCCTCTGGACTTGCCTTAGGATGGTTCTTGGGCCATTCGCCCCCTTACCAGCTGCTCACTGTATATCTGCGGGGTGCCCGGCTGCCTGCTGACTGCTGGAGATAGAGCTAGAACGGGACAGTCAGCTCCGGCCCTCATGGGCCTTACCCCTTATCACTCAGCCCCAAAGTGCAGGGGCTGGGGGCAGAAGTAGCACGTGCTGTGAAAGGGAGTATGGTGACCTGACCTCCTCGGAGGGTCAGAAAAGCTTCCCTGAGAAAGTGACCTTGACGCTAACCCTTGAGTGATGAGTAGGAGTTGGCCAGGCCAAGAGGGAGGGGACGGACATGTGCAGATCCTGCTCTCGCCTACTCAGGGACTTGGCTCCAGCATCCCCTCCACATGACCACATTTTTCCTACAATCATGCTGTTATTTCTCTCAACTTAAAGAGATCCTCTCTTGACCTCACATCAGTCTCCAGCTACTGTTCCCCCTTTGGCAAAGCCCTCCGAAGAGTTGCTTACCCTCGATGTTTCCAGAAAGTCCCTTCCTTGTTGTTTCTCTTGAACCCACTCCCATCAGGCCTTGCCCCCTCCCCTGCCCTGCTCATGCCATAGGTCAGGTCACCGGTGGTCTCCCCTTGCCAGACCCAGTGGGCTTCATTCATACGTTGCCACCCGAGCCTGCAGAACATGGCTGCTCACTCCCTTCCTGCTCTTTGCTGAGCTCCACCCTCTCCTCCTGCCTCACTGCTGCTCCTTCTCAGTCTCTGCCATACGCCTCCCCGCTCCGGCCCCAGGTCCCAGGCTCAGTGCTCTGACCTCCTTGTTGCCTTGCGGTCTCATCCAGTCTTGTGGCTTTGCCTGCCGGCACCAGTAGCTCCCACATGTATTTCTCCAACCTGTGCCTCCCCTCTTGACGCCACACTCATAGATCCAACTGCTTTGTTGACGTTTCCACCCAGCGAGCTACTGGGCAGCTCAGACTTATCAAGAAACAAATCTTTGGTTTCCCCACACCTCCATCCAGCCTCTTTACCCCATGTCAGTAAGTGGCAACTCTGGTCTTCTAGTTGCTCAGGACTGGAAGTCATCCTTGACCCCTTTCTTTCTGTATCTAATTCATCTGTGAATTAAAATAGCAATATCCTGGAGATATCTCAGAACCCTACAACTTCTCCCCACCGCCCCTGCTTCCTGGTATAACCCACCTTCACCTGGTCTCCCTGCGCCTGTCCTTGTCTGCTACAGTGTGTCCTCACCCCGGAAGCCCGCTTGATCCTTCCTAAAAAGTCACACTGGGTCACTGTTCTACTCAGAATCCTCCAGGGGTGGAGAAAAAGCCAGTGGTTAATGGGTCTCCGGGGTCCTCTCAATCTGGATGCTGTCCCCACCCTGACTGCTCCAATCCTTGTTCACACCATGGCAGTCACACTGGCCTCCCAGATGCGCCTTGAGCTCTAGGCATACCTAAGCACACCTGCCTCAGGGCCTTGGCATGTGCTATTCCTGTCTTGCCACCTTTCCTCAAGGCTCACTCTCTCGCCTCTTGCAGACATGTCACCTTCCCAGTGAAGCCTTCCCTGCTTATTTCAAAGTTTGACTGTACCTCTTTCCCCTGCCAGATTCCTTATCACCATCAAATACAGTGTCTCCCTTCCTCTGCCCTGTGAGGGCAAGCTCCACGGGGGGCAGGGTCGTCTGTTTGGGTCACTACGCCATTTTCAGTGCCTAGCACAGGCCCTGGAATACATAGGTGCTCGATGAATGTGGACTGAATGAATAGACACACCCACTAGCAGTCGCCATGCCATGGGGAGTGCCATGGAGAAGGATGTGGCAGGCAGGTCAGGGCGCCATGGCAAGAGCCTGCCGGGGGAGCGGGGGAGGGCGGGGAGCTGTGCAGAAGGAGACCATTTATTGCATTTATTAAAAAACGAAAAGAAAATCCATTTGCTGAGTGCCCTCTGTGTACCTGGCCCCGCCCTAAACCTTTCCCCAGTGTCTTCTACTCAGTGGCTTTCTCAGTGTCTTTTTAAGACAGGTGCTGTTGTGCTGATTTACAGATGAGGAAACCGAGCCTCGGGGAGGCTAAGTGACTTGCTTAAGATCACACAGCTGGAGGGGGAGAACCAGGAGACAGCCCTGGCCTGATGTGCTCAAACCTTCAAACTCTTAGTGATGACATGGAAATGTCCTTATTTAGCTGTTTTCAATAGTAGAAAAAGTGTTAGCCCCCCCACTTTCTGCTTTCCTGTCAACTTACGCTAGAACAACAGCCTGACCTGGGGCCCGGAGGTTTGTCTTCCCAGGCGGCTTTTGGGCTCCTCTGGTGAGCGCCTGCGCCGGGGCTTTGCGTGGTGCGGGCCAGACAGACCCTGTGCGCCCCAGGGCCACACCCAGCTGCTTCCACTTGAGTGAGAAAGCCCAGGCCTGGTTTCGATGTTCAGCTCAGGCCTTTTGGGCCCAGAGGAGAAAGGTGTTTGGAGCCTCTGGTCTGGTTCGGGCCGCAAGTTTGGGCTGCAGTGACATCAGTGGAAACTGAGCTGGGTTTGTGTTTGCCTGGTTTCCAACGCGCCTTGGCCCAGCCTGTGCCAGCTGCCACGCCCAGGCCCAGAACAATGGGGAGGAGCCGCCCTCCCGGCTAGGGCGGGCCTGGAAGGCACTGCCTTTTTGGGGCTGCTCACCTGTGTCCGCTGGTGCCAAATACCACTCTGTGCTGGCCTGATGCCCAAGAGGGCCTCCGCCTTCACCGAGAAAAAGCTAGTGAGCCCAGGGAGGCAACGTAGCTCCAGGAAGGGGTTGCTTTCCAAACCTTCCCAGAGCTCCACATGGCCCAGGGTGCATTGTTAGTTCTGTCACTCCCTGGGAGTCTCTCACAGCTTCCCATAAGGCTCCGTGCCCTTGGACTAGCGATCCTGAAGCCCACCTTGCTCACAAGGTAAGGGTTCAGAATTGCTTCCGAAACCAGAGAGGAATCATGGGATGGCAGCTTGCTAAGAAGGACAACAGAGCCAGCCTAACCGTGAGCAGTGCCACCTCACACAGACTGGGCATGCAGATGGGCCCTTGCCAGCTCCCCGAGCCCCTGAGGAGAGCGCCCCATTAGTCGCCCCATTCCGCAGAGCAGGATCTTGTTCCACCACCCAGAGCTGGGCTGGGACCACAAGGTCTGTCTGGCCTCACCCCCAGTCCTGACGCAGTCTGCTGGTGAGGCTGCGTCCTGGCTGCCCAGACTCCCCGCATCTGCACCTCTGGCGCACAGCGGGGAGCCAGTCAGAGACTGCACCATCTCCAAAGAGCATTTCTCTTGGTGGTTTGACTCAGAAGTGGACCTGACTTGACCGTGAGCACTTGTGCGGGGCTTCAGAACCACCTCCTCCCCCCGCACTGAGTCAGCAGCAGCACTAGTTAGTAGTGGGGGTCTTGCTGGTAGCGGGACCTCCCTTGAGGGTGCCTGACTCATAGCCACATCTCCGTGGGGATCTGGGCTCAGAGGAGCAACGTGGGGCCTGGAAGATTCCACAGAGAAAGGAAAGGAACTGGGCCTCGTGCTGGGCGCCTGACAGCTGAGCCAGGTGGGCCCGGTGGGTGTTCTTTCCCCTATTTTATAAGCGAGGGCCCTGAATCCCAGACCAGCTAAGTGAGTTGCCCAAGGAGCACAAGCAGATTAGAGGAGCTGACCAGCCTGGACTGTCAGCCTGACTCAGGGCCATGCTCGCTGGGCTGCCCTCAGCCTCAGAATCATTTATTTTTCTTAAAGATTCCAACCCCTCTCCTCACTTTTTTGCTACTTTGGCAGTTCTTAATGGGCAGTAATGATTTTGTTTGCTTTTGCTCGCTTGATATTTATTCAACTAATTGTATCCCAAGAGAAACCCCCCAGCCCCCAGCATTCCAGCCATCTTAGGCTTGGGGACGGACTCAACTCCAATCAAAGCCATGCTCCTCAGTTTCTTCCTTTGACCAACAAAGAAAAGCAAATCCAACTATTTTCCTTGGCTTTGAACTGAAAATAAAAACGATTCTTGAAATTGCTTTTCCACATTGTTCTGTGAGGAGTTTCCATTATGTATGGGCTTCCCTCCCCACTGGGCTGGTGTGACAGGGCCACGTGAGGCCGTGCGCGCTGGGAGGCGGCCTCCCCCAGGCTTGGGTTCCACCCAGCTCTGGCCGGCTGCGCTGTGAGTCCCTGCTGAGCCTGGTGTGGTGGGCCACACGCTATCCCACGTCCCGCTCAGCCTCAGCGC